CCCCAAAACCCCAAAACCCCAAAACCCCATTTATAACAAAATAATTTAAATTTTGAAATATAAACTTTAAATGGAAGGAGGAGAGTCAGAGATCAGGCTTAATATTACTGGAGAGGAAGGTAATATTGTATATATACATGTTCAAACGGTGTATAGATGCTAAATCTCCAGAGAAAGAGATTGCTCAGGAACCAGTCAGGAAACTTCAGCACAAGTTCCTTAAAGGAGCTCAGAAGGCAGGTAAGATCATTTTTAGTCTTTTTAAATTTCTTCTAGGAAAATAAGCCCGAACCAAGAATATCAAGAGAAGATTTGGAGAGATTAAAGACTGAATTTCAAGAAAACCTTACCAGACTAGATAATAATGATACCAAAAAGGTAGGACTTGAGAGATGTGAGAAGATTATTACCAACAACACAGACCCCTTGCATCTCAGGATGTATCTATCTCAACTCTGTGTGCAAGCAAATACTTTGAAAATACAGAGAAATAAAGAGCTACAAGTTATTTTATTAGGGCATGTAGCTAACACTTTTCAAAATGGGATGCTAGACCCTATTGATAAGCCTCCTAGTATTTGTAAAACTATTTCAAGAGTTTGAGAACAGGTCTGTGTTCATATGAAGGAAAATTCTCCATTTGTCCAACAAGCTTGTGGTAAAGCATATGTAGAGGTCTTTGAATCATGCACTCCTAATAAGGAAGAGAAGAGAACAGTTAACATGCTATTCTACGAACGTCTCGAAGCAATAATCATGGGTGGTAGTGATAAAGTAGCACAAAAGGCAGCTTGATACGCTCTTAGCCAACTCGTTAAGCACTTCATCGATCATGACTATACAGCCTTGGTTGAATTTTTCTGTCCTAAAATCATTGGTTTATTCTCAAAGACAAGATGCTTCCACTTTGACTTGACAAGATGCCTAATTTATTTACTAGACAGCAATGGAAGTAAATATTTTGTGGGATGATTAACTGAGATTTTCGACAAGTTAAAAGAAACCATTCTAGATCCAAGGATCCCAGAGTACCAAGATAAGATCGAAGCATGATCATTATTCACTGTTCTAGGGTTCAACCTAGGAAATGTAGCTGACTTAGTAAATAAATTTTACGCAGCAGATGTATTGAGCACTCTTAACGAAGCATCTACGAACAGGGTTGCTAAAGTCCAAAAAGCAGCAAGGGATGCAAAAGCAGTATGGGAACAACTCTGTGAAAACGGAGTTGCTTTAGCCGATTCGAAACAAGAAACTGACCACCTCGAGGATGGAGCTCTTACTCCAGACGATTTAGTCAAAGTAAAAGCCGGCTATGGAGCAATCGCCGATGCTAAATCTCTCGGCTATATGAAAAAGAAGAGCAAGTCTCGTAAAAGGAAGAAGGGAAGTCAAGTCCTTCAGAACAAGAGGTCTAAATCAAAGCAGATAAACTCCTCTAAGAACAACAAAGACAGTAAAATGATGCGTGAAAAGATCTTCAACATGGAACAAGAAAGGAGGAACTTAATGAAATAAGGCAGATGTTTTAAAGAAGCGTGACTCGAGCATCAACAATCTGATGGACAAGTACATCCCCACATCCAAGAAGAAGAAGCAGAAGAGCCGGAGTCGAGGAAGCATCATGAGCAAGATCAAAGAGAGGATGAACGATGTAGAGAAAGGCAAATCAATTGAAATCTTCGAAAGCAAGAAAGGCAAGCAGATGAGACTCCAACGAGAACAGAGGGAAGAGCTAGAGAACGAAGGCGGAGAGACGGAGATGAAGCAGGCAGAGAAATCGCCACAGAAAGAAGAAGAGGAGGAAGGTGATGAATTCATGTTTGAAGAGGAAGCTAAGGATGAAGGAGACCAGGTTTTTAATACAGGGAATATACCTAAGGATCTGAAAAATGATCTTAATGAGGCCAAAGAGGGGTTAGGTAGGGTAATTGATTGATGGTATAGATGAGTCGATAAATAGAGTAGAACATGAGGAAATTTCGAATAAGATCATGGGGGATCAAAAGCTTGATTCCACTTTTGATAGAGCTGAAAGAGAAATTTCTCCACAAAGATTCAAAGAAACTAATCAAGATGGTCTTGATATTGATCCTTTGGAAGCAGCAGATTATGAAGAGCAGCTTCTTCAAGCTCAAAATAAAAAGCCAAAAATTCAACACTCCGACGACGAAGAAGATCCCAATCTCCAAGATTCTCTCCAAAGAGAGCAATATGAAAAAGAGCTTCTTCAAGAGCAAGCTCAAAAGGCTAAAATGGAGCGTACTTTACCAAAAGAAACCTCTAATTCTCCTCAAAAATCTCAGCAAGAAGCTGAAGAAGAACTCCAATATTCTCCTGAAGATCTCCCTCCTGTCGAAAACCCAACTCAAAAGTCTAAGATTCATTCTCCAACCCATAAGATCGTTGACTCAAATGCTGACCCTTCTCAATACCTCCAACTTCTAAAACAGAAGAACCCAAAAATTCCTCAGGAAGAAACCAAAGGCTCGCCTTCTTCCAATCCGCTGGATCATAACCCGCAGGCTTCTTCTCAGCCTACAGATTTAAATCCTCCTTCAGCTCATCCTCATCATGCTAGAAGTCGTCAAGACAATGTGGAAGAAAGAGAAGAAGGCATGAGAGATGCAGAAGACAGGTTTAGAGGAAGCGATAGAGGTAGGAATGAGAGGGATTTAAGAGATGAGAGAGATACAAGGGATAGATGGCATGCAAGGGATGGCAGAGATGCGAGGGATAACAGGAGTGGGAGAGATAAGAGATATGATAGAGATAGGATAGATGATAATTATGAGAGAGATGGGAGAGATGATAGGTATGGAAGAGATGATAGGTATGAAAGGGATCAGAGATATGGAAGAGATCAAAGATATGGAAGAGATGATGAGTATAGATCTGAAGGCGTTAACCATGGTCTTATAAGAGACCCAATGCCTCAGTACACAGTTTACCCTCCTCCTCCAGTTTACACTCAGCCAATATATCAAGTTCCTCATGCTATGGTTATTCCAAATATTCCCTCTGGAGGAGCAGAAACACCTCAGTTTCATCATACAGAAAGAGATCACCATGTTAGAAGTTCAGAGAAAAAGATCGATCAGCATAAGCTAGTTTATGACGTTGGTACTTCTCCTGAACCAATCATAGAAGATCCTAATGACATAAACGAAGACCTAGGCCAAGATCTAAACATAGAAAGCAAAATGATTAACAAACCAAACCCAAATTCTCCTGATAAGAAAACTGGACTTAATGTTGAAGCCCAAAAATCCTTTGTTATTTCTCCGTCTGATAAGAAAAATGTCTCTTTGACCAATAACTATCCTATTCTAGACCCCATCACGAGAGCATGGTGAGATGCACTATCTTACTTGGATGAAGAGGATTTCCAATCAGCTTATGAAACCATTCTTTCCACAGGTATTTTTGTCTATAACTTCTAGGTGATGACATCTATTTGCTACGACTAGTTTCTCATACAGGACCAGTGATCAACTATTTGCACCCAAAGACAGCAGCTATAGTAGTTAGGAAGCTAAATCAGATCATCAGATGCAACATTTTCTCTGTCTTCACTGCAGATTGGATGGAAGAGTCACATAAAACAGGTGTCTTTAAGACCTTTAAGTACTCTGATCAGAACGAATACCTTGACACATTGGATCTCTTCAGTAAAGATGCTAACGACGCTGAGCTCTCAGGCAGAGCAACCAAGCTTTACCAAGACATAATTGATGAATCTGTAACTAATGAAGGCTATGATTAAATTTTTAAATACTTATCTGAATCATCATTTGTTCAAGTTAGCTTACTTAAAGCCTCTCTGTTTTAACTAATGGGAATCCTTGTCAATAGGCAAACAGTTATTTCTTGATTCATGATAAGCCTAGTCATTAAAATAATAGAATAAGTTTTCAAGATTTTGGAAATATAATGGGGTTTTGGGGTTTTGGGGTTTTGGGGTTTTGGGGTTTTGGGGTTTTGGGG